CCAGCGAGATGGGCGGCTCCTCCGAGCGCCTCTCCCGCTCCAGCGCCTCCTGGTGGCCGCCAGGGGCGCTGCGCTCCGCGGGACTCGCGCGGCTGTCGAGCGGGCGCGGAGGCAGCTGCTGCAGCAACGCGCGGAAAAAGTTGGCGGCCGCCGCCTGATGGGACCCGGGGCGGTTGTCACTGCCGCCGGCGAGGGCCGAGGACTCGGGCGACATCCGAGGAGCGGGGCTCTTGTGGAGGTTCCCCAGGCGGAGGAAGTATTCTTCTCCCATGCGGAGCAGAACGGGTCGAGGCTGCGGCTGCTGGGGCTGCTCGGGCTGGAAGAAATCCAGGGTGTGGGGGCCCCGCGGGGGCTGCGGGGCGCCCGGGGCGGACCCCCGGCTGAGCAGAGCCCCGCACGGCGGGCAGCGCAGCAGAGCCACCAGCAGGACGCCCGCGGACAGCAGCAGGCGCAGCCGCATGATGGGGGGCTGGCTGCGGGTCGGGGTGCGCGGAGGCGGGCGGGAGCGGACCGGGGAGAGAGAAAGGAAGAGTTGGTCAGAGTTCAGCTCAGCGGCGGGGTGCGCGGGGCGTCGTCCCGCCGCACGCCCCGAGCGCGCGGGCGCCGGCCCCAGGCTTGCGGGGCGCTGTCCGAGGTCCTGAAGCTCCCGGTGGAGGGCTTCGGGAGCAGGAAAGAGGATGCCTGCCAGGCTCCCGCCGAAGCCATCCCCTCCCCGGCAGGACTCCGGAGCGCAGCCCTGACTCCCCTTCCCAAAACCCATCTCCAGAACATCTCCCCGAGCTTAGAGAAGAGCCACAGATCGATCCGTCCCCTCCGGACCATTTCAGCGTTCTTCCAAATTGAGAACTACTTCCTTCCTTCCCTGTCTGTCTGTCTGTCTGTCTGTCTGTCTGTCTCTCTGTCTGTCTGTCTGTCTGTCTGTCTGTCTGTCTGTCTGTCTGTCTGTCTCTGTGTCTCCCCATCCCTCTCCTTGCTTCCTTTCCCTGGGGGTCGGGATGGATGTAGGGTAGTGGGAGTCCTTCATAACGACAGTGAATGGCAAGTGGGCAGTTCAGGTAAAGATAAGCAGCCGTCTAAAGTCTGATTTTGCCACATCCTAGCTATGGTTGGAATTTTAAGGTATAGCCAGGGACCCCCTTCTCTCTCTCTCTCTCTCTCTCTCTCTCTCACACACACACACACACACACACACACACACACACACACACACGCACACACGCACACACCAGGCTGCGCAGAGCTGGTGGCGCCTTCCGTCTAGGCGCTCCCTTACCTTCCCAGGCGCTTCGCAGGTGAACCAGGCACCGCTGCCTCTCTGCAGAGGGTGGTCTCCGAGGCTTTCTCTGAAGGCTTTCTTCCTCCTCTCCTCTCAGTTTCCACTCCCTTGTTTTTGTCTCTTTCTCCTCACTCTCTCAATTGTCTTAGTTTCTCCACACCAGAGCCTGGAGTGGGATTTTATAGTGTCGACCCTCTTCAGAAAGCACGCAGCATTTGCCTAATAAGCTGACGCTCTCTTGACAGCTCGCTTGCGTGCTGCCTCTGCTCCTGCATAAATCATAGGGCCCTGCCAAGGAGCGAGGGACAGAGTTTTGCTATTTCAACACTGAATCTCACATCCAATTATATCAACAGATATTTATCGCCTCCTGGGTGACGTCAACGAGCCCTAAAATGGAAGGGCTTCTTATGACTTGTCCATTGACAAAAATTCTTGAATGAGATTTCCCAAGTGTGAATATACTGACCTCTTACTACTGAAGGCCAGATGGAGGGTTAGAAAAGAGACAGAGGAGAGGAGAGAAGAGGAGGAGACATGGGAAACAAGGAGGTCTACCAAAGCAGTCCTGCTGGGCAAGTGACCACCAGTTAAAGGGGATGGATGTGGACCCCCAGGTCTTTTCCTTCTTAACTTCTCTGACCAGTTATCTCAGGATCCTCTCTGTACCTGAAATGACCTCTTTGCTAGGCTAAAAAAAAAGAAGAAGAAGAAAGACTCCTGCTGTCTTTCTTCCTGGAGAGGGACAAAAGAACCCGAAGATAGATGTGTGGGACATTGGGTTTTAAGCTTTTATCCCTTTTCTTTTTCTCCCAAGTGCAGATGAAAGCAGCAGAATCCTGCAGAGATGAAATCAGCAAGTCTCTTGACATATAGCTCCAGCCTTTTTAAAATTCAGGGGTGAGAAATCCCTGTTAGGTGGTGCGGTATATAAGGCCAGCAAAATCATATTACATGATGGGACAAATAGCTATACTCCGCTGTCCATCTGCCTGTACTGGTAGTTTTGCATGGCCTATAATGATGTCATAAATGTCCAAGGGGCCTGTGGCAGAAAAAAAAGATTCCCTACCTTTTAAAATGTAAATCATGGCAATTTTTGCGTTTCAACCACATCCCTGAGGCTTGCAATGAACGTTCTCCTAGAATCTCACTGCTCCTGTTTCTCCTCCCAGATTCTACAATTTATTGTGGACTTCTCTATTCATAAATTCAAGTGAAAGAGGGCCAGTCCAAGGTGCATGAGTTAAACAACGTTTCTTTTACCTTTCCTCAATGCAAACCTAACAAGAGGGTTTGAACTTCCTGTTAAATTCTGACTTCTCCTTCTGTGCTGGAGAAGGGCCA